TGAAGCCAGTATTGTGGCTAGCCTGGGGTGAGAATCATCCGGGGGGGTGACCTTGTGTGGCTTCATTCTGTGTCTCTTTAGTCCCAGTTTGTCCTCAGTTGCATGGAAACAACCAAAGCTGACAACCAAACCTTTCAGCTACAAATCCACTTCATGGTGTAAAGAGAGCTAAACATGTAAGTGTTCAGATGTCTCTAAAAATAACAGATTATGTTTCTTTTGTTTGGAGGCTGTGCATAATACTTTCAGGTGCTAGCTAGTTAGGTCAAACTGCCCTGGGTTTGAATCCTGGCTCTGTTTTACTAGTTGTGTAACGTTGGATGAATTATATAATGTCTCTGTGGTTCAGTGTTCTTCTCATTTGGGCAGTGGAGATTGTAAGAATATCTACCCAATAGTGGAATTATGGAGATTAAATGGGATAATGCTTATAAAACACTCGGCACAGTGTCCTGCAGATAGTAAATACATATTATTTATTATTATTGCAATCTTTTGGATGGATTGTTTTCTGATGAGGTAATTGGAAAAAGGATAGCATAAACATAGAGAAAGGGAAAGGGAAGAAGAGATATAGAAGAGATAGTCAGGACTGTAAAAGCTGATCCTGGAAGAGAGGCATTTACTAACTGTCAAAAAAAAAATCCTGAGAGAGAAAAAGGAGAAAGATGGCAGGGACTCAAAGGCAGAGGCTTAGCTTTGCTTTTTGCCAAGGTTCCATCCATCTGGCCTTGGCTTCTACGCTGGCTTTTTCCTGCAAATGGCAGTTCTAGAAGCCCAGCGGTGAAACCCAGGGCAGGGAGATGGATCATCTCTGAATCACCCTAAATTCTGTACTCATTGTAGGCATATAAAAATTGTACGTATTATTCTTCTGCAGTATAGAATTCCTTTGAGACTAATAGAAGAGACAGGCCTGTCAAGTGAGTCAGCAGTGACCAAAGGCAGACATAATCCCATTGCTTTTTGGCTGACAACTCATGCAGAGGAAAATATTCTCTGATCCATACAAAGGCAAATGTAGCTTAAATCCCAACACAAAATTCTAACTATATTCATCTTCTATTCCCAGTCGATGATGACCCTAGATGCCAGAAATAGCAAATACACCATCTCTTACCATTGGATTGTAATAATTTAATAGTTACTAAAGGTAAGATGCTCAAAGGACAGGATAACTCGGATTATTTTCAGATCTAAGCAAAAAAAAAGATGAAAAGAATGATGCCTCTCCTCAGATTTGTTTAATAGTGGATATTGTAGAGGAATATCTATTATGGGTGAACATACAGAAAATGAACATAAACCTGAATAAATTATGAGATATCTAGAAAAACAAAACACATGGTGAACCACATGATTTTTTCTTTTATGTGAAGGGTGGCTGTGAAGGCAAAATTGCAGTTTTAAGACGGGTTTTCAGTGTGATCTCTTCTGATGTGCCTTCACAAACACAATCATTTAAGAAACCAAGTTGAGCCTGGATCTGAGTATCATAATTCAGGACATCCTTTTTAAGTTAAAAAAAAAAATCTTTCATTAAAAAAGTTTTTTGGATGTTTATTTTTGAAGGAGAGAGAGAGAGAGAGAGAGAGCGCGCGCATGAGTGGGGGAGGAGCAGAGAGAGAGGGAGACACAGAACCTAAAGCAGGCTCTGGGCTATGAGCCGTCAGCACAGAGCCTGATGCAGGGATCGAACTCAGGAATGGTGAGATCATGACCTGAGCGGAGGTCAGATGCTCACCTGACTGAGCCCCCCAGGTGCCCCCAGAATGTACAGCATCCTTAAGAGGAAGATCAAAGGGCAAATTTTACATTACAAAAATTACCTTGATGCTGAAGAATAATTTCACTTACAGAATTAAACATGGATTGAAATCATGTATTATGATCCACCCCATCTGTTCAGCATACACTCTATCTGCCTACCTACCTACCTACCTATATCTATCTATCTATCTATCATCTCTCCCTATTTTTTTTTTTTTTACAAAAGAAGAGAAATAGGTTTGTTTTTGTTTTTTTTTTTTGCATTTTTGCTAAATTACTTCCCTAAGATGTTATTCCTAGACCTCTGGGATGGCTTTGATTGAAATCTGCCTGCTCTTGTTTCTAAAAAGTGCAGCATGGCTGGCCTGTGCAGAAGGTGACTTTCCAGATAGGAGAGCTCCTGGTGGGTCAGCTGACTTCTACAAAGCACAGGAAATGCTCTCATTTCTGGGTTCAGACTTCTACATTTAGCAGCTTCCTTTAACCCACCCCAGGCTGGTGCTTCTTCATCCCCTCTGAGCTCTGCTGCTGAGGTCCATGGTTCCTTAGTTGGTGTTGGTGAGGCTGCTGCATACCCCAGCTGACTCCTGCCACCGCCTCAGCTTGTCACACTACGCATTTAATCATGAGTGTGATGTGCAGCCCAGTGTGAGACCCAGAGAAAAGACAGAATTCTGTCCTCAGTGGGATAGAATATTCAAGCTTACGCCTCCGCTTTAAGATTTGGGACTCAATTTTTACCCTTTAGAGCTGTATGTATCAATACCCCAAAGCAATTTTTCTTGGATGCGTTTTGCTTTGAATTGGAAATACACTTTTGATGTTTTTTATTTAATAAGGCACAGGCATAGGACTACATTCATTATTTAGACTGGAACTTAGTTTGCACTTGATGTAAGAAAAAAAACTGGCACACTTGTTCAGGGTAATTGCAAAGAGTGAAACAAACCCAATTTATGTAAAGGATTATTGAAGGAATACAAAACTTCCAAAGTAAGCCTGCTAAATCATTCATTCAGTAACTGATTGACATTTGCCCAGATTTGGATCCTGTGCTTTGCTAGGTTTTAAAGCAAAGCGAAGAAGCAATTATTTAAAAGTGATGATGAAAAACAGTATTGAAAGAGAGCAATCCTGGAGGGTGGATATATTTTAAGTGATTATTCTCTGTTAAATAATGTAATTCACAGACCATTGAGCTAGGCCCCAGGAATCATCTGTCAACCTATGTTTCTACCTGGCAACCTTTGATATTTTATCATTAAAAGGTATGTAAATGCAATGTAAACAACGTCAACCACTTTTTAAAGAACAATTATTTCTTTTATTCTTTTACGGATTTCTATTTCATTTTGTGATTAAAAATTTTTCTATAAACTATATGGGTGAAGTTGGGCTTAAAGCCTGTTTCTGGGTATCTAGTTCCTTTGAAACTACTTGTTTCTATTACATTTCCAGTTAACATCTATAAATCCATCTGATGCTAAAAATCTGTTGTGGAGAAATCGTAAATCTAAGTCCTCTCCTCTGCTCTGTACACAATACCTACAAAATTTATGAAGAGGTAATTGCATTTTTGGCAGTTAGTTTTTCTCTAGACTTAATATCAGAAACATTTCAGGCAATCAAAAAACAATAGAAAAAAAAGCATCTTTAATTGATTCCTCAGAGAGTTCTTTTCCAGATTGTAAATAATTATTCTTATGTTTTCTATTTGGTTGTTTCAGGAGATACACAAAATGAAATGTAGGACACAAGTAAAATGCTAATAAGACATAGGATAATATTAAAATATTCCTACTTTGCCTGTATGGAACATAGGCAGTCTACTCTATCAGGGGAGGGAAAGCATATGTGAACAAAGGATTTTCACCCCTATAAAAGTACAAGTTTCATTTGCCTTAGAGAGAACCAGGGAGCAAGACATCTTGTGACAATGCCCGTCGGGATGCTGATGGGGCTCGGATGAACCCCCACCAGAATGAGTGTATGGAGCTCAGGAGAAGTGTTCACAGACAATGCCTCTCCTGGCCACCGGGTCTTCAGTGAAATCTGTCATGGATCAATCTACCAGTTAGTCAAGCCACACATCAGTATTTTCTGCCCTTTAGAAGCAATGATGGTATTTACCACTGGGAAGTGTGATGTGTGTATTTATACAATAGCTTGACTCGGAGTTAAAGATGCAGTCTGGGGGTGTGTTGTGTTCAAATCCCTTTAATTTTCTATTCGGATATTTCCAGGCTTTGTAATTATGCTATCATGTACTTATGGTCACAAAAAGTCTAGTTTAAACTGAATACTCTTTAGTACCCCCCTTTCATATATATTTTCACGCCATATATAAAGTTTGGGATCAAAAAGTCCAAGGAGTATGGAAAAATACAAGAATACATCGAAGAGCAGAACATTAAAAAAAAACAAAAACACTAGTTTTGCCTTGCTCATCAAACCTCTTAAGGTTTGGAAAATTTATTAGTATTTTTAAGCATTTTAAGAATTATTATTAATCCTCTTTTAGAGCATCTGTCTAGGGGCACCTGGCTGGCTCAGTTGATGGAGCTTGCAACTTGATCTCAGGGTTGTGAGTTTGAGTCCCGCATTGGGCATAAAGATTACTTAGAGTACCTAACTACTCTTTTCCTGGGTTCAGATCATGTTCTTCTATTGTGAGCACGCAGTAGGAGTTCAATGAAAGCTTGTTTTCAGAATGAATTACTATAAAGAGATATTTATGTTTCTCTTTTACTATAATAGGTAATATCTGTAAGTAGTGTTATCTTTGCCATATTTATGTAACAAAACTAAGTTCAGTATAAGATTTGATTTAAAGTAATACCATAAGAATGGGACATTTAAAGGTGGGAATTTAAAGGATTAAATAAAAAGTATAGGATCTACCCATGAATTTCTAAATATAGCATGCTTGACCAGGAAAATGGAAATGAATATTGGTGAGTGAACTTCAAATTAAAGGAAATTATCAATATAAAGCCTTGTAAACTTAAATTAACATAAAGGAAATACACTTATTTGTAAAAACAACCATATACATTAAGAGAAATGATATTCTCTCTCAACTTGCGTTCTCCATACTGTCCGTGCAAAATTGCTTGTAGAGTCCTCAAAGGGGCGTCTGTGGCCAGATGTGCAGAGAACATCCCCTTCACTGATATATAACAAAGCAATGTGGCCTGCCTTTTCTTTCACTAGATGGGAGTCTGGCCAGGTCACGGCTGTGCTTTTGAACAACTGGTCTGGATGTGTGAGACCTGCAGCACAGGCAGCAGCAGCTGGAAGGCATCCTGGATGTATGTCGTGCTATTGCAGCCCTGGGAGAAGGGAGAAATGTGGCTCAAGGGTTGTTTGCAGAGTTCAACCTGGACAATCCTTCCAGTTTGATAATGGTCCCTCCTTGCAAACCTCACAATATTTTAAAATATTTTTCCTTTAATGTTGGTGCTTAAGGCAATGGTAAACACAGTCCTTTGGATGAAATGCGTTCAGCTCTTAATTATCTATACTAATAGAAGAATTCACTTCACATGAGGCAAGTCATTTCCATGGACTTTGAGGCTACATCGATATGTGTATATTCATGACCAAATATATCCAGTCTTCCCTATTCCTCTCCCAGACCAACCCCACTGTCCTGAAATAACACAAAAGCACAGTATGAAGGAAGCTCTAGTTTGCCCTAACCTAGAGATGAATAAACAGGAATGGGCTACATAAAGCGAACTGGAGATAGTACTGTGTAATCATTCATGGCAAATCCTTGAATGCATATGGGTACCTTCTACTTGGTTTGGATATTTGATGTTGCCATTCATGCTCTGTGGTATTGTTTTTTTTTTTTTTAAGAAATTTTTTAACTTTATTTTTTATTTTTTTAAATTTACATCCAAATTAGTTAGCATATAGTGAAGCAACGCTCTGTGGTATTCTTGCATACCACGGTCGGTTGAGAGGCTATGTAATGTTTCAGGTCACTAAAACATAAGAAAACTCCCACCGGGGAAATAAATAAACACTTGACTTCATATTCTTCATGACTGACATAGTAAATTAATCTGCCGATGCCTTCTGGGTGGCCAGGGGAGACATTTTCTTGTTCCATATTCTGCATCTGACTGCCTGGCCTTCCTCTTAGCTGTGTCCTCCAGAACCTGCCCCTATAGCTCCTTGTCCCTTCTGGTTGACTTCATCCCACTGCGTGGCTGTGTCCTAAATGGTAACACTTGATGTCACCACTTTGTTACTTTTGTACCTTGGTAGTTTTCCCTAACAGTGAGGCACAATTTCTACAGACATTATAAATATATAGGTAGCCTTCCCTGACTTGTATTTGGTAATTTCCAAACGCTGCAATTGACAGCCACTTCAGACAACAAAAAACTGTATATGCATTTGCCCGTGTTCAAACTGGTTAATACCCGTGGCTTCAGCTGGTGCCCTGGGGCTATAGATGTGCCAGGTCCTTATAGCTGGGCCCCTGATGGAAGGTTTTCCTCCACCAGCCACAGGTAGGACACCGTGACTATGACTCGGGAATGTGGCCTCCGGGGCCTCTTCTCTCTTCCGTCACTGGCTTCTGGTAAAACCACAGCAGTATCGGGACAGCTTCGTATCAGTGTTACAAAGTCCTGGTGAGCCGACAGGCCAGGGAGTGAGTGATCTCTGAGGACAGTGCCTCTGGTCACTGAACAGACAGAGGCTAAACAGTCAACTTGTCAATATTGTTAGTCTGAAGCTTAGACCCGGCTAAACCAAAGGTGATCGTGAATGGAGACAAGGGCTCATTTTTACAAAAATCACCATTGAGCAAGAATCCCTCATTGCAGCCAATAATCACAGTGTTAAATCTGGTGTCAAACTTGGCAGCAGAAATGTGCTTCTGCTGGAGGAAACAGCAACAGAAATAACGTGCAAGCTTAGCGTTTCTCTTTATAATCAGGAATTCTTGAAAATTAGGTATTGTTGCTTCACCCAAGGGTTTACAGCTGGTTGAGCTACACAAATGTGCTCAAAAGCGACTGTTGATGATAAGATTTAGAACTGGAATAACACTTGCTGCCTGGGAAAAAGACAAACAAAACAAGTAGCTCTAACATTTGCTTTGATTCAGAAGCACTTTCTCTCTGGGGGCCACTTACCTCTAGCAATACACTATTGATCATGGGGTTAAGAACCTCAGCCTTCTTGTTGCTCTGTGGAATCAAAAGGATGAAATTGACAGATTAGGTGCTCATAGTATAAAGCCTGCCACATAAAATGTCATATGATGGCTTTGTAGAGGGATCTCTTAAAGAGGAAGAGGAGAAGTGGAATGTTTATTATAGACCAGACTTCACATTAGGTGCTGCTTCTATCTAATCTCATTTAATTTCGACAGAAATCCTGGTAGGTAGGTAGGTAGGTAGGTACCATGATAACCTAAAATAAGGATGAGAAAATAGGAATCAGGAAAGTTGAGTAACTTGTTTAAGGTCACATAACTAGAAATTTAAGCTCAGACATTTTTTAACTATTGAAAGTTTGTAGCACGTCTGGGATTATGGGGAGGTGAGTGAGGCTGAGTTGCCCAAGTATAGGGTTGGATCTTGTCTCTACTTAAAATGTTGATATTTGGTTCATCATGATCTTTTTGCATTCATTTTGATTAAAAATTTTTTTATATTTATTTATTTTTGAGAGAGATAGAGAGACAGCATGAGCATGGGAGGGTCAGAGAGAGAGAGAGAAACACAGAATCCAAAGCAGGCTCCAGGCTGAGCAGTCAGCACAGAGCCCGATGCAGGGCTCAAACTCACAAACTGCAAGATCATGACCCGAGCCGAAGTCGGATGCTTAACCGACTGAGCCACCCAGGCGCCCCGCTTTTTTAAATTTTACATGAAAATATGCATCTAGATGACTGAAGTTGTTTCCTTGTCTTTTTGGGGAGGCATGGGGGCAAGGTAAGCTCTCACATTTGTGGGTGAGTTAAGCACCTTACTAGTCTACCCTAGAGCCGACCCTGGTCTAGACTTATTTTCTTTCTTTTAAGTGCAAACATGGGTCTTTGGTTACAAAGTGCGTCTTCCAGATTAGTAGAAAATTAACACATTCTTAAGTACAACTTACAGACAGATCTGGAGATTCCATTTTGCAAAACATGAATATATGTAAAGCACACAAAATACAGAGCCTGATATTAAGTAGGTGTTCAAAAAATGAGAGCTAGTATTAGTTAGTATCATTATTTCCACTATTGGTCTATCAATCAACAGTCTTCTCTATCTAACTGTTCACTTTACTCTTAGACAATAAATAACTAAAGGGACTGGAAAGACAGAGGGCAATCTTAATAGGCTGGTTTTCCTTACTGTATCCAGATGACTTTATGGTAAACAAAAATATATAAATGAGATAGATCTTTCCAGAGCAGCCCACTCTCATTGACACTACTTTACTGAGGGCAAAGTAATGTCTTACTGGGGAGACCATAATGGAGTCTTGGGGAAAAACTCTTTAAAACCCCAGTCATTTTAGTAACTAACCAGAAAATCCATTATGGTATTTGCTTTCATGTTTATTTGATTATCAATAAACCTCTAAAATATAATCAAAACGAGGGCAATAAAATGACATTGGCTTTCAGAATCAATGAGATGTGCAAGCAATTTAAATGGAGTCTGGAGAGCAATACGCACTCATTAACTTCAAGTTATGAATAACGGCTGTTTTAGAAAACAGAAACTTGATATAAATGATTCATCTTAGCACAAGATCAGGGGTAGTGTTGGGATGGGACGGCATTTCAGTAAACTCAGCTTTAGCTTTTTCCTTCTCCAAAGTGGTAACGTGTGTCTTCTTGATTTTGTGCATGCAAACATTTGTACACATGTGCATATTTGTAAGTGTGTACATATGTATACGTTCAAGTACATGCCCAATAACTAGAGCCTTGCTGCTCAAAATGTACACTGTGAATCAGGAACATTGTTCTCATCTGAGAGTTTATTAGATATGCAGAAACTCAGTCCTCATCCCCGGTCTACTGACTCAGAACCTGCATTTTAAAAAGTTCTCTAGGTGATCTGCCTTCCCATTAAGATTTGAGAAGCACTGTACTGGAAGATGGCATGTCAAGAGAAATGGGAAGCAATGCTGTGAATATTACCAACTAACGTAAACAAGTGAATGTTTAACGTGAATCATATACAATATACAACACACACACACACACACACACACACACACACACACACATGCACAGACAGATATATCCTCATCAGTAGGCAGCCATAGAAAAACAGTTGGCCATCTGTCTCACCCCTTTGGGCCTCAGTTTCCCACCTAGTGAACTGGGGAAAGAGTGAGAAGCTTTGGGAAGCTGAGTCGCCAAGGCCATGTCATCCTGATTAGGACCTCACACCTCCCTGTGAATCTGGCAGTTACACCAAAGTCCCTGGGTGTCTGTCACTCAGACAACACCGAACACACACGTGCATTTCATCAAGCCTATTCTATCAATGAACTTCTGTCTCCCTCTTCACTCTGTCTACATACAGAAGCTCTTATTGTAGAAGCCCCCAAATTATACAAGTATAAGGGTTGATGTTTTACAAAATAAGAGAAACAAACCAGATTCCTCGACAACAGAATGGATAGGTGGTATGTAGTTCATCCCTGATTAATCGAGTCGCTTACAGAAGTGTGGGAAACACACATTTCCTGACAGTCAGGTCCGCAATCATTTCCACTTCTTTTGAGAACTGACCTTGGCCTCGGTGGGTAGCAGGGTGGGGGAAAGTACACCCCAGCAGCCAGGTAGGTCTGCATGATATGATCCTGTCCCCAGTCACTACGGGTGATACCAAGCGGACATGTGACCCACACTGATGAGCCTTTCAGTAGTCTCACCCAGGAACTCAGAATCTGAATGGAGAGACATGGGGTCTGGGAAATGCTACAACTGAGTCACATTAATGGCAATGTTTTGGAGAGAGAGGGAATACATATTCTGGTGCTGGATCCCCACAGCTGCTCACATTCCTCTACTGCCTTTAATAAAGTCCCTTTTCTGTCTAGATTACGTACAGCTTGTTTCTGTCACTTCCTGTTATAGATTGAATTATGTACTCCCAGAAAGATATATTGAAATCCCAACCTCCAAGACATCAGAATGTGACCTTACTTGGAGATAGGGTCATTGCAGATGTAATAAGTTAAGATGAGGTCCCACTGGTCATACCCTAATCAAATATGAATGGTGTCCTTATGAGGAGAGAGAAATCTGGACACAGAAATAACAAAGAGAGGATGATGTGAAGGCAGAGAAAGAGATTATAGTTACACTGCCATGAGCCAAAGAATGCCTGGGGCTATAGCGGCTGGAAAAGGCAAGGAAGGATTCTCCTCTAGAGGCTTCTTGAGAGGGCATGTCCCTGCTGGCACCTTGGTTTTAGACTTCCGGTCTCCAGAACTGTGAGACAATAAATTTCTCTTGTTTAAGCCCCCCCTTTGCATGGTACCCATTATGGCAACCCTGGGAAACTAACACATTTGCAACCAAAAAACACCCTAACAAAAAAAAGGAAATAAAATTTGCTGTTTCTCATGGCAAGAATCATCTGCCCTTGAATCCAGGGCCTTAAAAGAAAAAGTAGAAAGATTAAAGTGGAGGAGGGGATGCCTGGGTGGCTCAGAGGTTAAGCATCCAACGTCAGCTCAGGTCATGATCTCACAGTTCATGGGTTCCTGAGTTGGAGCTCTGTCTGCATCAGGCTCTGTGCTGACAGCTCAGCACCTGGAGGCTGCTTCAGATTCTGTCTCCCTCTGTCTCTGCCCCTCCCCTGCTCAGTTCTGTTTCTCTCCCTCTCAAAAATAAATAAACATTAAAAAACGTTTTTTTTTAAAAGGGGAAAAATTTTTTTAAAAAAGAGAAAGGTTAAAAAGGAATATTTTCCACTTGTCTTCCCAATCCCACTAAGGTAGGGTTATATAATGTGACTGGCTTCTGAAGAAAATAACCAGAAGCCACACCTCCAAACGCCAAACCTTTCAAACTTGTTACCTTGAGAATAGAAACACTTATGCCAACAGGTAGAATTTTTTTCTTTTGGTTAAAGTTGAAGAGTAATAATAAGGAAACCTCTCACAGTGGGTGGGGGTGGCATAAACAACAGGTTCTGAGGGCAATAGTGAATGTGAGTATTCAAAATTATTTTCTTAGGATAGATAGATAGAATTATATATCACAAGTGTTAAGCAATGAAAGGAACCTTTATTTGACTTCTTTTTAAACAAATAGAGGAAATGAGGCTCAGAGATGTTTCAAGACCCACTTAATACCTTGTAAGTCAGAGATGGCAGCATCAGGATAGAACCCAGTCAGATGAGAGCCCTAAGTTACCTGTTCTAACAAGTGCTCCTGGCCTGGTTTTAGTAAACATCATGGCGCGGCTTCTGTTTTACGGAGCCAACAAAGAAGGCACTGCACTTCTCACAGCTCCTCATAGGCTCATCTCCCAAAACAGGTGAAAAAAAAATCACTATGATAAACTTACCCCAACAGTGGTTAAAGAATTCGTAAACTTCTTTGATAAGGAGGCCACTTCTTTACACATTGCAGTAGTTAATCTGAAAGAAAATAGGAGGTTTGGGGGGATTTTCCATAAGATAAAATAATTTAAAAATCAAGAAAATTACTGATACTGATACCATCTTCATTGAAAAGAACACACACAAGTTTGAAGATGCTCTGCGGAAATGTTTCCCTCAGTAATCTTTCATGGTTCACAATCATAGTTGAATCTAATCCTGGTTTTTCTCTGCATGCATAATTAATGAATAATCACCCTATCTCTTTCTTCCTCCCTCCCTTCCTCTGTCTCTCCTTTTCCTTCTTCCTCCCTCCCTTCTTCCCAGTGGGCTTCACAGCTCAGTGCAGAGCCCAGCTCAAAGCTTTAACTCACAGCCCTGAGCTCATGACCTGAGCTGAAATCAAGAGTTGGATACTTAACCAACCGAGCCACCCAGGCACCCTCACCCTACCTCATTTTAGAATCAAAAGCATATGCAGGAAAATTTGAGGCTTGAGCTCCATAGGTTTAGGGGTATAAGCTTCTTGCCAAGTGGCTTTTCTCTAGCTTTTTGGTCATTTTGAAATAATAATGAGCATTCATTAAGTGTTTTTATATGCATAATCATATTTAATCCTCATAGTGATCTTAAAGATTACATTAATATCCCCATTTTATAGATGGTGAAACTGGTGCTTAAGAAGGTTAAGTAACTTTTTTTTTTGAAGTAGGCTCCACACCCAACTTGGGTCTTGAACTCATGACCTGGAGATCAACAGTTGCATGCTCTACTGACTGAGCCAGCCAGGTGCCCCAAGGAGATTAAGTAACTTGCTTAGGACATGCAGTAATAAGTGATAGAGCTGGAATTCAAATTCAGATGTCTCTTAATTTCTTGATTAAGTTTTTATTACGTACCTCATAATAAAGATCCTATAAAATCTGTTTTTGTTTATTTATTAAAAAATTTTAATGTTTTTATTTATTTTTGAGAGAGAGAGAGAGAGACAGTGCATGAGCAGGGAGGGGCAGAGAGAGAGGGAGACACAGAATCCGAAGCAGGCTCCAGGCTCTGAGCTGTCAGCACAGAGCCCGACGTGGGGCTCAAACTCACAAGCTGTGAGATCATGACTTGAGCCGTAGTCAGACACTTGACTGACTGAGCCACCCAGGCGTCCCTATAAAATCTGTTTTTAAAGACTTCTATCAAAACCCCAAGTTTATTCTAGCCATTTGACTACTAGGACTTTACCTCAGGAAAATAATGCTAGACGGGCACAAATATTTAACAAAGCAACATTTGTCATAACATCACAGATGATGACAAAAACCAAAAACAATCCAATTAACCTAACAATGTGAATATTATCTATTTCCTTCTATAACTAGTATATACGACTCTTATGAATAGTGGTTAAAATTCTATTAGAAAAATAGTAACTCCAAGTTAAGACTCTTACATGTTAAGATCTAGTGAAGTCAGGAGCAGAGAGCTTTGTTTTGATAAACAGGGGTTCTGTGTAAGCTATGTATTTAGGTTTGTCGGGCTATATCTATCTGTCTACCATTCCATCCATCCATGCAAAACTTATCTGCAGAAAGGGTCAGGAGAAAGGTCCGGGGATAGCCCAGAGCCATTTTGTCTATGGCCTTGGGCAGGTGGGTGGAAAGGCACTTATTATACAGACACATGTGAGGCCTTACGACCTTTCGCTTGGTGCAGCTTGGTAAGGTTGGTATAATCTGGACTGGAAATCAGAGATGCTAAGAATAAGGTCCTGCTATACATACTTAGGGACTTGTGAACACTCTCCCTTTACAAACAAACACCACAAATATAAAATACCACTTCGACGTCTTCCTCAATATTTTAAACGTTTCCTATTTTTCCCTTTCCTCTTCCTTCTATAGACTGAGGTAACTACATATTCTTCCTAAACCTATTACGTGCAGGATTGTGTGGTTCTTAGATCACCTTTCATTTTCACATGCTTAGATAGGAAAATCTAGACTAGATGACACCTCCTTACAAGTGAGGAAAAATGCTACCAGTAGTACAAAGATGCTAATGTCGACTTTTTGGAAAGTTCTCTGTCTAAACATTTGCTCCCCACCTACAATGCCAAATACAGTAATAAGCAAAGACTAGTTAGCTAGCAAAGTGAATGAGTGTATTGAGATGTGTGTGTTGTGTACCTGTGTATTTTTAGGAGGCTCTTATTTCGGCTCCTGTGTCTGTGTAGTAATGAGAAGGTGTTGGATCTGTGCTAATTTTCCACACTACGGCATACAGACATGCGGGTAAAAGCTGATGGCTTGTTTTTCAGCTCCATACCAACTATTTTCATGTGCATACGGTTACATTTTATTCCACTAGATAAACTAATAATAATAGCTACTATTTGTTGGAAGACTGTAACATATGATAGCACATATGCACACACATGCAATCCACAGGAAACTGGCTTGCATCAACAACCATCACTGCCAGAATTCAGAATATGCAGAGCTGGTATAAGTCGCTAGGAACCATGGGGATGCGTTTGAATATCTTTGGGAAGCTAGCTGAGAAGCCGCATCAAGGTGTCCTTTCTCTATTCTTATGGTACGTTAAAAATGCAATTATCCTCAAAGGTCTGTACTTTTAAGACTTTGATCTATTAATTGGGGCGCCTGGGTGGCGCAGTCGGTTAAGCGCCCGACTTCGGCCAGGTCACGATCTCGCGGTCCGTGAGTTCGAGCCCCGAGTCGGGCTCTGGGCTGATGGCTCAGAGCCTGGAACCGGTTTCCGATTCTGTGTCTCCTTCTCTCTCTGCCCCTCCCCCGTTCATGCTCTGTCTCTCTCTGTCCCAAAAATAAATAAAAAACGTTGAAAAAAAAATTAAAAAAAAAAAAAGACTTTGATCTATTAAAATAAACACTTATCCTTGAATGATTTAGTGTTTCTTTCCTTAAATCTCTTCATAAATAATCCCTAGAATGTCTACTTAATTGTTCTTATTCTTATTAACATGATTCAGCAAAGAATCTTGTGATTCTTAAGAGAGTCTATTTTTTTTTTTTTAATTTTTTTTTTCAACGTTTATTTATTTTTGGGAGAGAGAGAGACAGAGCATGAACGGGCGAGGGGCAGAGAGAGAGGGAGACACAGAATCGGAAACAGGCTCCAGGCTCTGAGCCATCAGCCCAGAGCCCGACGCGGGGCTTGAACTCACGGACCGCGAGATCATGACCTGGCTGAAGTCGGACGCTTAACCGACTGCGCCACCCAGGTGCCCCAAGAGAGTCTATTTTTAAAGATGACCACGGAACAATAGAATTAGTTGCCTTATAATTTAAATCTTTAGTAGCCTAGGGTGTGTGTATGCCTCTACGGGTGTGTATCTGAATGGCACATACATGTAAAATTGGAAAAATAAGAATTAAAAGTAACATTTACTTTATCAGAACTCTTGCTTGGTCCTGAGCTGGTTTTTCCTCTTCCTGCCCATGAAGAACTAACTCTGCTACTTTGTGCAGCTGCTCAATGCAACGTGCTGTTACTTCTGCCAGACTTTCGATGGACAGCATGTATACTTCCTGAAACAGATAAATGCAAGTAAGAAAATTATTCATGGAGCAGAAGCTTTGTTGAAAATCCTATAATGTGGGGGGCCCGGCTGGCTCAGTTGGTAGAGCATGCAATTCTTGACCTCTGAGTCATGAGTTCAAGCCCCACAATGGGGGGTAGAGTTTAATTAAAACAACAACAACAACCCTATAATGAAAAAAAAATTTATATATATAAAATATAT